AAAAAAATTACTCAAAAAAGTGCGGGCTTATGACTTATGACTTATGACCAACAAAAGCATGTACCTTCGAGTAACAACCTCATAGCTCATAGTGCATGGTTCTGTCTTTGAAGATTTATTAGTTAACATTCAAAATCAATTCCCTTATGGAGAAAATGAATGGGATTTCTACTTTTAGAACTTTTATTACTATTGCTCATACTTAGGGACTTGGGCCAGTATGCATGTCATTCTTAGAATACCCTAGCAACAACCTTGCGACCACATAGTAACATTCAAACAATTTAAGTTCATAGCAACCAAGATTCATGGCCAAACACCACTAGTATATGATTGCATTACATAATGTGTTCATTTTTAGATTTTCTTGCTTTAGTCATAGTTTTTTAATTTTATTACGAAAATGTCCTTTAAATTTAGTCAGCATATCAATGTTTGTTACTTTCACTCAGAATAATTAAATTTTTTCAGATTTTTTTTTTTTCGAAAGCATTTTTAAGATCTTGCAGTGTTAATTCTTTATAGAAGCCCATTTCCGCCATGGGATAAAAAAGTCCAAAAGGTAATTGCGAGTTTTCATTTCACAATTCTGACTTTTTTCCTTGCATTTGTGATTTTTTGTATCTCACAATTTTGACTTTTTTTTCTCAGAATTGCGAGATTATATTTTGCAATTGTGAGAATAGATCTCACAATTCTGACTTTTTTCCCCCCTCAGAATTCTGCATGTGCATGTGGTCAGGTCGGGTGTCTAAAACTGTGAGAAACAAAACTGTAAAGATGTAAACACAGAATTCTGAGAAAAAATGTGAGATATAAACTCACAATTCAAAAAAATAAAGTCAGAATTGTGAGATGTAAACTCAACATTGCAAGTTTATAACTCAATTCTATGGAAAAAAAAGTCAGAACTATGGGATAAAAATGTGCAATTCTGAGAAAAAGTTCAGAATTGTGAAATACTAAATTAGAATTCTGAGAAAAATGGTCAGATTTGTGAGATACAAACTCGCAACTGCAAATGTGTAATTCACAATTCTAAGAAAAAAGTCAGAATTGTGAGATACAAACTCAGAATTCTGAGAAACAGTTAGAATTGTTAGATTTAAACTTGGAATTCTAGAAAAAAAATCTAAATTGTGAGATGTAAACTCACAATTGCAAGTTTATAACAAACAATTCTAAGGAAAGAAGTCAGAATTATGAGATATAATCTCACAATTCTAAAAAAAGTCAGAATTGTCAGATATAAACTCACAATTGCAAATATAACAAGTCTAAGAATAAAGTCATAATTGTGGGGAAAAAATTTGCAATTCTGAGAAAAAAGGTCAGAATTGTGAGATATAAACTCGCAATTGTAGAAAAAAAATCAGAATTGTGAGATGTACACTCACAATTGCAAATTTATAACACAATTCTGAGAAAAACGTACAGTACGTTTCAGATAGAAATTCGTAATTCTGAATTCTCTTTGATGATTTATTTATCTAATCTAAATTCGAATTATGAGATGTGAACTCTATTCTAAAATTGTAAGATAAAAAGTCACAATTACCTTGTATTTATTTTTATTCTGTGGCAGAAATAAGCTTCCATAGCCAAAAGCAGCTCTATAGAGCATAACAGTGGCCACCCACTTTTACGTTCAAGTATTTTTTCCATTCATTTCTCCATAAAGATTTCATAAAGTTCTCCAGTAAAGAAATCAAAGCCTTAAACTAAACCAACCAGCTTTGATATGAATCATTATAAACTCCGATTTGAAGAAAAAATTACAAGACATGAACTGCTCATCCCATGAAGCATTGTGAATGACGCAATCAAATAAGAAACTACAGTTCAATATAAAACAATATATTTTAACTATATTACAAAATATCGTGACTCTGCCATTCACAGTGCTGCATTGCAGTGGTCGATCGTTGCTGAGCTCTTTTGCAGTGATTTATGTTTCCATAGTAACAATGAGTCCTCTGATTGGTTTCTTTCTAGTTAAGATTATGGTGTTGGGGAATTCCGCTATTAAAAATATATTTTAAAAAGACCTTGAAATCACAGACTTATGGTTTTTAGAGCAGCACATATCACCTCTTAAAGCCCCTTAAAAGGTTTATGTGCTATTGGGGTTAAAATTCAATTAATCTATGGAGAAAGTAAATGGGATTTTTACTTATGGAAGTTGACTGTTGTGCTCTAGAAGTGGGCTTTGCTGTTTTTTTTGTTTTTTTTTAAGCTGTCAGTCAGCCAATAAATGGGATCATTTCGTATGAACAGTGTTCCTGTGTGATCTGTTCATTTGTGGTCCTCCAGTAGAGAATCACTTCAGTGTTCGTCTGTTTGTACAGCCTGTGATTCAGACTCTCACAAACTCATCTGTCCCAAAGTCTGACATGTTCGGTCATACAGTGATAGAGACAGACAACTTTAATGCGACGTCACTGCCTTTATCTCTCTCTGGGGTTATGTCGATGATATTAGTGGTATTATCTATGATAATTATGCTTTGGTTATATATTTGGTTATATCTTGCATCAAATTTAAACCAGGTGCCAACACATTATGGTCATGTGATTATGTGCCAAAAAGCAGTTTACTGGTTTTAAGCTACAAAAGTGGAATATTGTGGATGTTAATAAATTCACAACTTTTTAAAAAAAAAAGCTCTTTATGATTGTCTTTGTGTACATGTCTCGTTAAAATTCATAAATATAAGATAAAAGAAATGTTTTAGTTATTCTAATTAACAGATAACTGATAGAAATTGCTTAAAGGTTTCTGAGGAGATTCCTAAATCTAGTTTCAATGGGTAACACTTTACAATAAGGTTCCATTAGTTAATGTATTAACTAGCATGAA